CCAAAAGGAAAAAAATTTCCAAACACAATTATTGTTACAATTATCACTTCCTTAGTTAATTGTATATTTTAGTTATAGTTATGGCTTCAGGCTCTCACACGAAATTGCTCACCACGAGTAGAACAATATAACAAGAGCGCTCAAAAATATTTATAAAATAGAGGGCCGTGCAGATCTTACAAAGACTTTTGATGTCTCTCTGTTAACGTAAGAAAAATTAGCAAACATTACACATTAATAGCCACTTGACTGCTTTTATGTTCTTAAGTGCGCGCGTATACGTTATGGTTTATATACGCATGTATATTTGTGTGTGTATGTGTGTGTGTGTGTGTGTGTGTGTGTGTGTGTGCATATAAGAAAAATAAAACTCACACATAAAGTAGCAAATGGTGTACGTTGCCGTTCCATCGTTTATATCAAATCTCATTGAAGATTTCTACATTTTATGCTCGTCAGACGCTTCAATAGATTTAGGTGAAAATTTCTTCGGGGTTTATGAGGATATTTTTCCTAATTAACTGAACAATAATTCATTGTGTGAATAATTCATTTTTATTTACGACGGTCTATGCATATATTTATACGAATTTGTCTCGATATATATTCGTTTTAAATTTGAACTCCTTAACTGATAAACAATGCAATAGCAAAAATAATTTAATTACGTGTAGTTCTAATTGCAATAGAGGGCTCAATATAAAATCAACTCCGGGTCGAAGGAAAAAAATGGAAAAAAGTTGAACTTATGAATTGTGCACATACGCTGCAAACTACAATTTACGGTCTAGTCTACCTCAACAGTGATTGAGCGTCGATCTTTCAATTGATAGACGCCTTAACGCCTTAACCATTACACCACGGCCACACGACAGCCCCCTACCCGTTTTCTTAAATTTTTAAAATGCAAAAAAAAAAAGGAGAAATTGTGAAGAGCAACTGCAAGTAAGTGTTGCTGACACTTTTTCAAAGTAATCAGTCGACTAATGTAATTACAAAAAATATTATGTACAATGTGACCAGGTTTCGAATTCATGCCTCTAATAATGTTGAAATTCTATCGGACGTATTACGTTCTTCTGTTGTAAGCAATGGTTCTATTAATTATAATTAAAAAGGAAAAACCGAGACAAAAATTTTGATAGACAGTTGAGTAGCAGATGCGTTTCGTGAGTTGCACATGTATAGATGCAAGTGTAGAGCGTACTGAACTGAACTATCGCCGAAACACGCAAAAGAACAAAATCTTGAAAGACAACTCTATGAGAATTGTTTACGTTCCATGACCAAGAGATGGCCTGTGCGAAAGTGTCGCAAGAAAAGATACGATATGAAGAACAAACAAAGCATTAAGGATCTTATTGCACAAAAATTCAAAATTTTTGGCTTAAAAGAGAAACGAAAAAACAAAACGAACAGTGGAATTTATGAATGGAGATGCGCGGGATCAATATTTTATGCATGTTTGTTATTTCTACGATGCATAGAGACAGAATATATTCTGGGCCCATCTAGAAAAACTAAGTATCAACGGGGCGCGGGAAATAGCACATATATAAGCGTTGGTTAAATTAAGAAAATGTCTTCATGGATCTGTAGAAAATTTTGAGTGAAACTCTTATCGAAGCTATTGGTGACCATAAAGTTTCAAAATCTTTAAGTAGATCTGATATAAACGATGACACGACAATGTATTAGACTTTCTCCTTTATCATTGAATTTTCTTTTGCCCACATGAACAAACATACACTTACATATGCATATATACGTATATATGCAGACCATATGCACTTAAGGATACAAGTTGATAGGCTCTTGATTTGCATATACTTGATGCGGTAAGGCGTCATATCAGGACACTAAAAATGATTTTTAATCATAGAAATAATAAAAATGAAAAGTACGAGTAATCAACTGGCAGCTAATTTAACAATGTTTCTGTCCTTACATTAACTCGGACATCAAAAGTCCCTTAAATGTGCATTGGCTTCTATTCTAAAAATATTCTTGAGCTCTCTTGCTATTTATATTTAGTCCTCTCTCATATCACATACAAGGCCGAAACAATTAAATATGAAAATGTGCAATGTATGCGTATTCGAATACACCTACACTGAAAATACCAATAACTAAATGATAAGTAATATCTTCGTAAACGTATTCACAACGGAACGTTAATGTTAGCAAATATTAATTTTATGCTCCGCACGTTTTTAACATCCTTAACAATAAACAAAAATTTCATGACTGCTCCCTTATTTAGCACAGAAGGTATATTAATTTTTTTAAACGTATTGCAACGCTTCCTGTGAATGAAGCGCAAAATGCTTCTTTCGTCTGACTGAATACGAATAACGCTCTGGCTTTAAAGATCTTTGTCCTTTGTCAGCTTATACACTATGTAAAGAAATAGCTCTAGTTGAGATGTTGAGTTCCTGTTTTTCCTGTTATCCAGGGTTGTTTTTTCTGCTAACCAGTAAATTTAGGTTTTTTTTTTTGGACATAAAATTCTACAAACTCTAGATACATCTATCCCGGGATCATATTCGCTTTGCCTTCAAACGCATATTTAAGGATACTCGGTACTCGCCAATGATTCATACATTCTACCCACCTATAGTTGAGAATGAAGGTCCAAAGCTCATAACTATTCAGACTTCTTTTGTAGTATAATCTTCAAAAGTAATTAGCACTTTTCCAGCTCTCGTTGCCTTCTAGCAGCAGTTTCATTAAATCATCTAAGTGGAATACGGCTTAACAAAAATTACATGTAGTAGGCAATGTAACAAATACAGACAAATATAACGTCATTTCTATTTACATACATACATACACAAGTCGTACGCAGTGAACACATATAGAGACCCAGTAGAGATAGAAATAAACTCGTGCTTCGTAATATGCGTGGGATTACATTAAATTCTTCCCTTTTGAGTGATTTTCTTTATTAAGTTACCGCCTAAAGATTCCTTTTTCTATTCGTAAATACCTGAACAAGTTTAACTACACAACTACTTTCGGATGTCATGCTTAGAAGATAGTAACAATTATTGCGGCAAGTATGGGTTACAAACGCGTTATGAACATAGGTTATTGCGTTAGGAATACTGTACTTGTCAATATACCAACAACAATAGATAATAAGTGGTGAGTACAAAAAAAAAAAAAATTCCAATCTGACCAGCGCTTATATCCACAGTGTAACACATATATACAATAAGATATATTGCCCTAAATAATGTTTTCTGTTGCGGTTGAATGCCTTCCACCTGTAATGTAATTATAAATGTTATTGAACGTTTTTCATACACATAGTGTAAATAAAAAAAATTTTTGTTAGTCTCTTTCGTTGATGTGATTTTAAATTAAATGTACATCGTGTAAATAAGCTTTATCAGCATCAATTTATGTCACTTTTATTAGCACAATCAACTTGATTGCGCTCTCCCTTCTTTCTCTTCCACTTCGTCTTTCGTCATTTCGTCCTTTATCAAAGCATGTTATTATTGTAAAGGCAAAATTAAGTATGAAAAATATGTTTTTCAATTCACCCTCAGAATGTAAACCAGTTTCTCTCCATCGCGGCGGAAGAAGACTTCCCCTTAAACGTAATGCTACACATTATTAATTGTTTATTATCAAAACGTGTTTTGTATCTTAAATATTATTCCTCTTCAAATTCCTTTTCATCATAACGATTTAGTATTCAATTATTACTGCCTGAACAGACAGATAATCATAAATAAATGAAAAAAAAAAAAAACTTTAATATATTTTCTTGTCAGATATTGAAAAGGTGTAGGTGTAAGTGTTTAAAAACTTTTCAACAATTTTTTCTAATGTTTTTATGTTCACATAATATTAAGCATGATGAACTTGATATTCTATGTAAGCAGTCGTCTGTATAGTTTGTTTATTTGTTTTCCTTTTCCTTTCACTCTTTGCTTTTTTGCTTTTTGTTGCTGATTATTGTTACGTTTAGTGTCGCTTTTAAATTAAACTTTCCAATAAAAAGCAAACCATTTTAAAAATCATAGACGTGTGTTTGTTTGCTTTTGCTCAACATAATTTTTCAGTGTTCTTGCAAAAGCTTTTCTATGTATATGAAAGTTTTATTTTTTCGTTCTTAAAAAAAAAAGAAAAAAAAGCTTTTTTTTCCTATAATTTTAAACAATTGTGCAAGACAGTGTTTCCTGTGTCTAATATATATAGCAAAAAATCATTATAGAAAATATTCTACCGTAAATACCTCAGACTCGCTTTCAATTCCATTTATTATTCATAAAAATAATAGCATGAAAACTTTGTAAATAGTTTTGTTAGCATTTTCTGCACAATAAAAAAAACGCGCTTCAAAGACTTTAGAAAAATACATCTATTAATTCCTGCAAATATTGACATGCAAGCAACTACGCACTATGCATGTTCAATAGGTATGGGCTTTTGTTCGCCAAGGCTACATTTCCCGAAAACTTCCGGGCATATTTTATCGGAAAGACATTAAACAACAATGCTTATGTCTGACAATACAGATTGAAAGCATTGGCAAGACAAGGACATGTTTGTGTGCCATAAGGTTATTCAACTAGTTTCCAAGCATTTTGTATGAAAAGACTGGACTGCTGGGGATAGTACAGACAACAAGATGTCAATATTATAGCCGTTAAAACCGTGAAAGGGAGCGTGGTACGCCGTCTAGGAACAACTTCATAATGATTTAATCTGAGAACACCTTCTGGTATTCATGCAGCGTTCTCAATGCAAAACATGTACGCTTTAACTTATATATATGCCTTTAACTTAAGGTAACTAGAAATCTAGATGTGGAAATGGTTAGTGTTCAAACCTCGACTCCTAATAAAGTTGAAGTTCTATCGGACCTTTTTTAGTTGTTATATTTTTCTATTATACGTACTAAATAATGTATGCATTAATTATAAATAATAAAATCTTTGCTGATAGATCTATGTATATGCATCTACTAAGAATATGTTACTTACCGTGCATCACGTTTTCATATTCAGCAAAATATTTTTGCCGAACTTCATGGTGTCGTTCATTATTACGTTAATGTTAACATATTTCAAGATCGACACTTCCGACGAGACCGTGCATGATTGACGAAAATCATTAAGCTTAAGCGCGGGAAAATCATCTTTTTGCTGGCACCTATTACGACGAGCAATCTCATGTTTGCTGCCATCAATCTAAAATTTCACAAAATTATGCAAATAAATTTTTAGTAATGTATATAAATAAACAAACGACTAAAATATATGATGACAGGAAGAGAGAGAAAATATAGAAAAGTTATGAAAGAAATAAAGCATAATGTACAAAATACATCACATAATTAATAGTTTTTCTTCTTCCTCTAAAATTTCAGCAAATCAATAACAGATGATTCCAAAATTTCTGACCTTGGTCAGTGTGAGCATGAAATTCTTTGCCCGAATTTTAATAAACTTAAACTTTAGTTTTGGTTAACAGTTTCCTGATTTTTATTATTTCATCTTTTCTTCCTTTCCTTTATACTCTAACTTGACATTTTATGTTTGTGCGGGCATATGTAACATGCAGAAGCGCTTACGATGGACTATTTACTATTCCGAATAATTTCTGAAACGATCTAAGGTTGCCTCTCCGTCTGATGTCCGTCCACGTAAATTTGTGTTCAAATTTTCAGGTTAAAAATCCGCATAAATTTAACATATCCCTCTAATACATATCCCAGGCGACGTAGGGTGTAAAAACTGATATATTCTGCTACTTACCAAGTTGTGTGAGTCAAACCTACTTGGAAGTAGGTGAACTTGCATTTATAGATATTTGCTTTGAAGCAAGAAAATTTATCAAAGGCCATCCGTCAACATTTGAGGAAAAATACATCCTCTCTCTTCATATCAATTGAAAAGGCATGGAAGCAAATCATTTGGGGGAGATAATATTAAAGACGGGAAAAATACGAACGACAAGAATTCAAACCAAGAGTAAAGATGTGGCGGACGAAATCTGCAAGGATGAAACTTCATGACAAGACAGCGAATACATCAGTTCTGTATTTAAAGCCCCGAAAGCCAATGAATATATTTTTAAATTCGTATCTTGTGTGTCACAAAAAAAAAAAACTTCCAACCACATAACGAGAGATCGCACCACAAGCACATCTACTAATCAAATTTTTCAACGCTGCCAAACAAATACTAATAGATTTGTGGCCTACGCATGTCATTTAAGATGATGTAAGGGGTAACACCCCACCGTAAACCTTTTAGATAATCAATTTTTTTTTTTAGCCATTCTACCTGGATCTCCTTACTTTTTAGTAAGTTAAATTTCATTTCAAACTAATTAGCAGCAACTACTGGCGGAAAGAAGTACTCTTTTATAGTTGGATAGTTATCCCAGCACGTATTACTAATTAAATCCATGTCCTATAAACTTTTATACACATTTCCAGAAATTGATTTTAAAATAGAGGCAAACTTCTTGTCTATAAGCGATGACAATTCGTTGCTATACGTGTGACATATTTATATAATAGAAAAAATTTGTAGCAAATTGAAAAAGCGAATATTTTGGCACAGCATTAATTTGCTATTAAATTTTAATAATATCATTTGTAAGTCACACATATATAAAATATATTTCAAATATTCGAGAATTGAATATGTAATAAATAGATGTATTGTATATGTAAACGTAAACGTTCAGCAGCACGTCTGCCAAAACGACATATTCTAAATAAAAATTAGAAAATTACTTTCGTAAAAGAGGCATCACATGTTCCTTAAGCATCGCACAGGAAAGAAAATTCATTCATTTACTATTTAATATCTTTCAAAAATGATCTCCTTAAACGCAAATGTATTCTATAACTTATTTTGGGCCATGACATATAAACGCAACAATTAATGGATGACTTAATCCTAAATGTATTGCAAAGATTTTACTTGGAAAACATTTCGAAAAAAAGGCTATACTTTCACACACACAAATGTCTTCAACAGTAGCATGCATTACGGCTACAATAGCGGCCATCACGAATGCCTTCGATATTAATTAGTAGTAGATAAGGCTTTCAATGACTATTTGATTGATTGACTTAAAAATAATACCCTACAAAAAAACCTACCCTACAAAAAAACCTTACTTTCGCTTTAGGTTAACGGCATGAAAATCCTTATGAGCAAATCGAAAAAATTTAAAAGAAAAGAAAAGGAAAGAAGTGTACGTCCGATCGATGTTAGACCGAATCATTTTAAGGCCAAATTTTTTTCCCTTTTTTTTATATCCTAATGAAAACATTTTGGCACTGCAAAAATTTCCGTTCTGTTCTTCCGTTTCTTTTAGCAATTTTCACGTTTATTCATTTAGTCATTATAAAATGGCACGCATGCGTAAAAGAGTGTGTGTTACAGTGATGGATGAATGGAAAAAAAGAGCACACTAGCCCGATTTAAAATTTATAAAGATCGTGGTCAAACAATTGCCTTCTTTCTGTTTTTCTTCTTTTTTTTTTCAATGAACGTTCCGTCACCCTATACATATGCTAGTAATATGGCAATCATTTGGAAGATAATACAAAGGAAGAGAGCGAGAGAGAGAGGGATGGATAGAATGTGCCGCAACCCGTGAGGTTTTACCACAGTTACGGCCATATGCAAGTGTGTTAATAAAATGGCGATCATGTGGAAGGAAATAGAGAGGGAGATAGAGAGAGAGAAAGAGAAAGAGAGAGAGAGAGAGAGAGAGACACACACACAAACAGAGAGAGAGAGAGAGAGAGAGAGTGAGAGAGAGAGAGGTAGCGTTTGCCGCAGGATGGTGTGAGGTTTCACTAAAGTCACTGCCATATGCAAGTGGCAACTAATGCGTAGTCACTCTTCTTGTCTATTAGACAGATTTTATTTATTTTTGAACTTAATGATAATATAATAAAAGCAAACATTTAGAGACGCACATCATATTCAAAAGAAAATATTTAGAGCATGACATTTCTTTAACAAGATTGAATCGGAAGGACAAATACGATTGGATCAATGACGCTGTTTTTTCAACCCAAAATCATTTATTCACAATTTATGATATTTTTTAAGCACTTCGAAGCTTACCATACTCATACTATACTACAAAAATTTCAAGCTTGCTGTCGTAATTAAAGACATGCCTAATTGGTTTATACGAATCTTTCTTGACAGTAAATCGCCGCAAATTCAACTTTCAGTTCTTTTTGTTTTTCTTTCGGCAGATTCCGATTTCCATTGTAGTGAGAATTTCTGTAGGTGAATTTAAAATAAATTCCTAGAATTCTGATGTTTTTTTTTTTTTTTTGGCAGGTTCCGGTTTTTATTGTAATGAGTATTTCTGTATGTGAATCGGCTTTGAATTTAAAATGAATTGCTAGAATTCTGATGATATTACACAACAACATAAGCAATTAAATTTTCGATACTCTTCGAGAATGTTAGGGAACACGACTAGAATAGAAACTCAAAAGAAAACCGAAGATTATACCACTTTAATAGACTAAGATTAGAAAGACAATACTCGAGTCTCTTTCCGTTTTCGTGCAAATGGTAGAAGAAACAATCGTTAACTTTAAATATTTATTTCAATTGCTCTACCAGATGTCTACAAAAATGTATGCAATAAAATTAGAAAATGAAAAATTTTACTACGCGTACTCCTAATAGTTTCCCAAACTAGGGGCAAACTAGAAAATCATAAGAGAAAATGTTTTTTATCGATTGAGATTATTTTTGCAATGATATTAAGGTTTTTTTTTTTTTAACATGACCAGGTGATCAGGTGATCTACCCTATGCTCTGAACGCGTTGGCATGAGGTAAGAGAAGGTAAAAAATAGTATAGAGGTACTGGCCGCTGCATAGTGGATATATGCCCAATCCATAAGTATTATAGCTTTACCGACTAAACAGTTACTATAGCTACGATCAAAATAAACATTACCGGACCAAGATTTGAATCTGCGATTACTAGCTTGGTACTCGCGACTCTTACCTACTCGATTACTCATGAGTATAAATAAATATATCTAAAAATCTACTCATCGACCGAGAAGGTATAGAATGAACAACTTTTTACTTTACCATTATCTTTTCAGCTTCAAAATCCTTTAGTATACAGTCAATGTGGGGAGAGCAACGACTGTCGTAAGACAAATTCGACATGATTCCACTATCCATATCCTTCTGTTCTAATCTATGTGACTTTAAAAGTTTCCGCAATGTAAAGACAGACATGGACTGACTGAGGTCTTTAAAAAAATCATTATATGTTTTGTTAGGATCTCCAGATGTCGCAAACGAATTAACACAACAATTAACAAAACTAGTATATAGAGAGACATGCATCGATATTATGGAATATATAGAGTACTTATTTGCCGATTTAATATACAAAGGCAATTAGATTATTTATAAAAGAAAAGTGCGAAGCCATGCATATTTAAATTTAGTCTCACCTATTAAAACAAAATAAGAAAATGTGGCTAATTTTAAATTTTAAAATAACACAAATGTCCACATCTGTATGTATATATATATATGTTGCATAAACGTTTGTATTAAGGTAGGCGTACAATGCAGATGCTATTAAAGCTTTTTATGTACATCTGTGTGTATACAGCTTTTTAAAATAAAATCAGAACCTTTGCCAATAAAAAAAACTTAATATACATAGTATGATGTTCGTTTCGCCAAAAATTTGATGGCAGTTTGCAAAAATCAAGTAGCAGCATATATGAGAGAAAATGTTCTTAACGACAATTAGTTTACGAAAATTAATGTAAATGACAAAAATAACACGTAAATTTCTAAAATATATAAATGCATCATCCTAGTTAAGGCATATGAAAGTTAATTACGCTGCAGTGTCTGCATGATCAAGCGAAAATCTCAAAGATTAACTAACTATAATAGCATTTTTTTTTTTTTTTTTTTTGAAAGACTATCACGAAAAGGGAGGAAATGCTACTTCCCCTCCCACCTCCCCACAATCTTTTTTGTTCAATTATTAAACGAAAATATACAAATGTTTTTATTTAGACTTTGTCCCTATGTCATATATGTTCAACATTCGCCTTCTAATAGAGTAACAGAGCCAAAGTTAACATCAAAAGATAAAACTTCAAAGATGTTTAAAGTGTTATATAATTCTATGGGTTTCTAGAATTATTATAAGGA